CAATGCTTGCAGCCAACTGAGTTGCCGCTGTTTGGGTGCACAATGCAACCCCCAAACACATGTGGAGTGGATGTTTCGCTTAGAACAATGCAGTCGGTGTGCGGAGAGCAGGGCAAGTCCAGTCGTTGAATCGCAGACTGTGTTGTTTCTGGTTCAGGCTCTAATATATTTTGCTGAACATTGTGGCCCCTTTGGAGATCATCTTTACAAGCTTTGGTCAGTATTGCACCATCCTTTGTGTTCGCTGGCGAACAATTCTTCGAGTCGACCCATGGAAACGCGGTCTGCGTTGACCCCCCAGATAGATTTCTCGGAGTGTACATATGTTTTGGAGGGCACACTCGTGAAAGATGAGAAGTTGTGTCCCACTGTCACTATATAGATGTTGGTGACTCAAGAGACAAGAGCCAAGGACCTGCAGGTTTGGTTGCACCACTGTTTTATTTTTCAGTTTTTGATGAGTTTAGGTTGCGGCTCAATTTTTTTGCCATTGGATTCTTCTAAACCTTTGGCCTGTTTGACAGCCCAGGTACGCCATGAGGGAGAAGTCCCATGCAGCGACATGACGCCCAATGTGAGTGGAGGACCTTTGAGTGAGGAGGACCTTCGCTGTCAGTTTGGGCAACAGCCATCTCCGGCCCAAACCACTACGACACATGGACGACATCGGATGATTCACTGCTGAAACGATTCGTCTGGAGTATTTGTTGTTCCGCCCGGCTTGGGGACCGGAGCACACGTCGTGGCGTGACAGAACGCGGCCGCCCAGGTGAGGTGTTTCGCCGCATGGAGCTCCATGGATTCCACGTCTCCCACGGCGGACCTTGCCCGATGTGGGCCTCTCGACTGAGTGGCGGAGGATGTGGGGGGATCGTTGAGGTTTTGACTCTTGACACCTATGTTTTGACACCCAGGTTGGTCCCAACGAGCAGCATTTGACACCATGGAAAGCCTAAGATGGAGACAAGAGCATCTCCAGGATTTGGCCTGAGTAGAAACTCTATGAGTTGTGACTTAGTGAAAACTAAGGACGATGGGTTCAGTGTTGAGTTGATAATCTGGTTTCCAGTCCAATTGCCTGGCCTCGCATGTGATTAGCTTGTGTTTTGGAGCGTGCCCCACAAGTGTGTAGGCCTCCTTCTACATCCTTCCACACTTACGATATTCGCCACAACATGTATTGGTTGTACTTAGTCACAAGGATCTTGACCCCACCCACCTTACTGTAGTTTTCTGAATTCGAAAGATGTGAGGCAGTTGTTGTAGATGAGCATATAGATGGAAAGATGCAGCTGTCAGTCCTTCAGAGTAGGTTTATTGACGTTTGCTGCATTAAATCATTAAGTGAAGGTACTGTTTGCAAAATGCTTGATATGTCCACTTTGCCATTCTAGGTGTGGGCCTAAATATTGCCACTTGATGCAGCTTCTACAATCCATCATAATCCCCTATTAAAAAATACCTCGCCTTGGTCCCTTTGTTGGGCACAGAGTGCTGCGTTCAATGCGTCGTGACCAACCGCAGGATTCCAGTACACATGATGAAGTGGATGTGGTGTTTGAAAGGAGAACAAGCTCGCCATCAGATGCAAAAGGTGTCACTGCGCGTCCCATGCCGCATGCCGCTCATCGGTGGACTTGATCCTGTCGGGGTCGAGTCCAGGGGTCCCCGGAGTAAACAGAGTTTCGATTTCCAGGCTCGGAGAGGTCTCCTTGATGTTTGGGGGCAAGAACTTGAATGCTTCAGTGACCATGCCATCAGATACCCAATTCAGCTGCGAATCCAGGCTTAAGACTCCTTCAACCAAGCAAGTCCGTGGGTGAAGCCCAGACTTCACTGTGTGCCCCCCGCGAAGAGGCCCAGAAGCACCGCCTCATCTTGCAGATGACTGAGGGCGTCATGTGGGGATCTCATGCGGGTCAAGCCGATTGTAAATTAGAGGAGGCGGTTTTTGGGAGATTGGTAGACTCGGACTCGCGAAAGTGGACAATGGCCCACTGGGAAGGCTAGGCTGATGTCGCCTGCTCGACGACCGTGTTTAGCAGGCCGATACTCTGAGGATTGACAGAGTCCGCAGCGGTAAGACTATGGAAGACTGTATACATCTGTATACACTATACATTATATACCATATTATCATTGTTGTTATTACTATTATTATATTTGCAGATTCCATCCTAGTGAACTGGAGTGTGGACTGGGTTTAAGACCGGGCAAGTTAGAGAATGAACCTTCAACCAAAAGTCTCTTAACCGCCCGTGGATTTTCCAGGAGTTTACATTGGATCCGGCCCCAACCAGATTCATGGGAGGTGAGACTAGGGGTTTACCAACGGAGAGGAACAAAGGAACACGTGGGTAAACTATGGTAAGCTGGAATTCTGTGAAATATACTTGTTCCTAGTAGCTTATTGTTACTACTAGTAAGGCACTTGTTACTAGAAGCGATGCACTTGTTCCTAGTAGCGAACCTTGTTTCTGAAATATCTTCCTGTGTTTTGTTTGATCCGACCCCTAAAGCAACGGAGAGAGGTCCCAACAACGTGAGTAGTCACCGTTTTGGATCCTTTCAAGCCTGAAGCTCGACGGTATATTTGAGTGGCGCAACAGATTCAAGTTTGCCTTGCAATTTCTCCTTCACTCAACTATACTCCTTGGAATAGCGACAATCATACTCCAGGTCCGTTAATCCCTGTTCTCCACAAAGCATGCCTGTTGTTTTCAGGTTCTTGCATGGCCAGCGGCCACCGTCCCCGCACTCGTTGGGAGACGGGACACGTCCAGAGACGGACGACGCGGGGCGACGCGGGGCGACGCGGGCCGCGGGCGAAGCAGGAGATCACCGATCTTAGCGACAGGATTCTGCGGGGATATCAAACGGGGCGAGCTTATATGTAGTGTAGAAATCTTCAAACTGAAAAGTATATCTTATTGGAAGGATTCGATGAACAGCAGAATCATAAACGTTGATGATTGATTGGGAGATCGTGGGAGCATGGACACTAAATGTGACATATGTGAATCTCAAGAAGATTCAAGAAGCCCTTTTTCTTCGCTGTTTTGTTTTTGGAAGCTCCAACATAAAAAGCTATGATGCTGGGCAGTCCAATGTCCTCTTCCTTTTCGCTTGGCCAGGGTAGTAGTGACCCTCCGATTCTGTTCAATTTGAGCTTCACTGTTCAAGGTGCCCTGCCCCATTGTTCGGATTTACCGGTGGGCGGAAGAATGACATGCCAAGATGCAACTCATCTCATCTAGATCGATGATTATCATTCCAAAACATCGGTGTTTTTGTTTAAAATCATCACAACGACATCAAAGTCGTGGTGACTTGCTGTGCTTTTGGAAGCTGCTGTGACCTCATTAGGTGCTGGCCCTTTTCGTTCCAGGATCATCCAGGATCAATGTTTCGGGTTCAGGATGCTGGAGTTTGGGCGGCCTGTGGTCCCACAAGGCACTAATGGAACATTGGTTTGCATTGTTCTCCTGTGGTTGCCATTTAGACTTGAAAGGATCTTGGAAGGGTGCAAAAAGGTGAATTCCGTCACTTGTGACCTGCTCCCGAGGTTTGTGCATCGGGATTTGAAGAGTGCGAACGTGTCTTGAAATTGATGGATTGGGTGTTCCGGGCGTCGGCGCAGGTCGCGCTGTAAACAGCAGCCTGCCAAGGAATTTGCTTGCTTGAACGGGAGGAACACATACTCATACTCCGCCATCATCTACAGTAACGACTTTATAATAAGACCACAGTTCTTTTATGGGAGGGAGAGAGAGAGAGAGAGAGATAGAGAGAGAGAGAACAAAAAAGGACACGCATCTCATCTTCCGCATGTGTATGCAGGAGAGCATCGTTGCGCCTTTCCCGACAATCTCCTAGCAAAAACCTGGCATAAAAAACATTTGCCCAGCAAGACAGTCCTGAAACCGCATCATGTAAATCTCCATTCCTCGCATCCTCCAAAACGACATGTCAGAACATTGACATAAAGTTCAGAAAGTGATTTTATCTCCAAATAGGTCAATTAATGCTTCTTCCTGGCTGGGGCACCCCCATCTCCTGCCACACTTGGAACGACCCCCAGGTGGTGCTGGACTTGGAACTCAATGCCAAGCTTTGCGATCTGGGCATCACAGAGCTGGGAGACCTTGTTTATCCGGGAGAGATCAGCGGTGGAGAAAACGAGGGATGATTTAGTTTGGACCGTCATAATATGAATTATGTTGTTTCTTTAAGCGCAAATCTTGTCGCAATATCACGCAGACTCCCATTCATTGTTCGCAAGGATTCACGTCAGGCGCATATTGAATTGCCTGTGTGATGAACTGTGTCTATTTGCCACTCGGACGTCTGGAGAAGCTACCAATAGCACCCTTCTTGATAACGAGCAGTAGCAAGAATCTATTCACAGGGCACCTTGAGGCAATCTATTTTCTCAGGACAGGCAATGCAATGGTTCTTGTCCTTCACTATGTTCAGTTGTTCTTACAGTTTTGATCAGTTTTGTGTTTAATATGATAACCCATTGATAGCCCTTCCAACTTCAAAAGCGGATTGGTTTTAGGGAGCTGCTCCCACACTCCCACCCAGCATGATTGGAAAGATCGTGGCACAAGCTGCGGCAGGGCTAACCATGTTTAACTCCCAGGAAGTTGATCGCCGCTGATCACACTTTTTGGCACTTCAGCCTCCCCGAAGCCCTCTCCACATGAGCGAGTACCAGCCAGTTTCCGAACTTGGAGAGGTGCATGGAGCGCACCCACATCAGCCGCAAGGACGCGGAAGCTGGCTCACCAAGGCCCGCACAGCTCATGGTGATTAAGAAGTAATTACTGCCAGGAGCCTCCAAAGGATGATCTTTGGACATCACCTCACACCGACCAAGGGTGTCCCACAGCAAGTGACGCGGAAGGTACATGTCCCCCGAGCTGTTCTGCCGCTCGGGGAAGCTGACGGAGAAGATGGACATTTGGGCCTTGGGCTGCCTGGCCATGGAGGCGCATGGTTCAACAGAACTTGTAGCTGTTGCTGTGCAATCAATTTTGACCATATATCATGCCATTCACTGTGGTCACGCAGGGCCATGAGAACCAGGGGGCCCTGGGGACAAAAACAGTGTGACGCGACATTGGAACAATTGGAACTCATCTTTCCAATCATGAGTCTTGTTTGCAATGCTTGTCACTAGCCAGCGTGTGTGGCCAATTGACTTCCTAACAAAAATGGAAAAATCATGGAAAATACGACTTGGTGAAACCTATAGTGACAAAAGAGATCCAAAGAACATGTTCTACATATTAAGTTACATTATACATGAAATCTATCAGACGAGACGTGTTCTTCGATGGTTCGCTGAAAACAGCGGTGTCACAATGCCGCCGAGTCTTAGACCTGTGGCGTGCCAGGTCATCACCGGCCGTGTGCCGCATGAGGAGTGCATGAATGTGCAACAGGCGTGGCAGCCCCACGTGCGGGTGGCATTGCGGAGATCAGGTGACCGGGTAGATGCTGTCCCGACCCCCAAGATGCGCTTCCCAGGAGACTAAATGAACTCAGGTCCTGATACCGTATTTGTGAATAACAGAAGAAAAAGCCAACGGTCCATTTTGTGTTTGCTCCGGGAAGACTCATGATCAGCCGGAACACATGCCAAATCTTTCAGCATCAAACCAAAGCGGCTTCATTCAGAGGTGACTTGAACCCAATTCAGAAATTGCTTAATGCCCGAACTCGACGCTTTTAAGTAGTCTGCAAAATCTCTCAAGCCAGCCAACGCATGAGCCTCTAGATCAAAGTATTAGGTAATTAGTGTTGGCAACAGCAGCCAGCTAAGCTGTGAGCTGCGATGGGCGAGCCACCTCCTTGTACAATTGGAAAGCACTCAAACACGCAGAGAGAGCCAGAAGAGAAGGACAAGTTTGTGGACAGCTCAGAGGAATATGAGTTGAATTCCTTCGAGGACCCTGGGACCCTGAGAGCCAAGGACATTGTGTGTTTTCCCAGAAAGTCAGCTCAAGCATTAAATCGAGTGATTAGACACCCCTTCGGCTGGTGGTTCAACTGCACCTCGCTTGTTTGCCAGACCTAGCAAGGACGGTACACCGCCATGTTGCTCGAAAACCGAGGCGTTCCGGCGGTACTGCATCAACGCAAACATCGCGTTGGTGAGGCCAGAGTTCTTGGAAGAACTTTGCAATGATGAGAGGGTTTGGCCTCACAGGCAGGAGGCTGAAGCAATCCCAGGAGCTGGTGGGCCAAACTGGTTGGCACAGCACCCGAGCTCATGCATTTTCCACATTTCAGTTCCTTAGGACACTTCCGCAATCTTGCGCATATGTTGATGAATATGTTTGACAGTCTTATTTAACATAGTGACCACAATAACCTCAAACAGCAAATTTTGAGATACAGTCGCAGTTTGCTGTGTGCTAACGTTCCATCATGGACACAATGTTCGACATCATTGTGGATGGTCTTCCAGTCTCCCTTGGGCTCTTGGATTCTGCAAGTGACCTTTTTCATCCTTTTTCAAACACTTGGTAGCTGGATGTAGCAGTTCAATCAACTCAATTGTTCGCTGACTCCGACCATCAAGCAAATATTATCCCGCCTTGTAGAGGCAACAGATGTTCAATCCGCAAGGCCAAACATGGTGCCAGGAGCTTTATACAAGCCCAGGCCTGATGAGAAGTTCTTCTTTATTGGAATCTCGCACTGCTGGGAGTCACGCGAGCATCCAGATCCTTTCGGCTTCCAGCCGCTCGAACTTTCAATAGCTTGCTCCCGAACTCTGCTTTATCAGCGCACTATGTTTTGTAGCTCTTTTAGATGGTCCAATTGCCATAGGCTGCAAGAGGTCATGTGTGGAAGTTTGTCATTTGTGACCCGTTGAAGTGGACGCTAGCTTCCTTTTCAAGTCGGACAAACAAGGCTGAGAACCGTTGTTGAAGCACTCAACTACTGGAGAGAGGCCGAGCCTGAGAAATACGGGAATGGTGACACGTATTTGTTCATTGACTATATCAGCCTCCCTCAATTCAAAAGAAACGCAGAGGAGGAAAAATGCTTCCGGAAAGCCATGCAGCACATGCACCTGTTCTATGCCGCTTGGCAAGTCAACTGCATGTTTTAAAACTTTTTGGATTCACCTCACTAGTCGGCCCCTACTGGCATCCACTTTGGTTGTAGGCTTTGGCCTATTGAGGCGAATAGTGGTGCATCGTTCTGCAAGAGTGTGTGGCGCGTGGAGAGGCTAACACCTCCAGGTCTCAAAAGACAGCATCCCGGAATCACCTTGGGCCAAAAGTACCGTTGTCACATCTCTTTCGCATCTTGATCCATCGACATTCCTAGGTTTCAACATGCTTCAACTCATTTAAGTCTGAAATAGATGCACATACAAGCTCAATCAAACACTCCGTATTGTTTGAACATCCTTCGGCTTTCCAGGCAGATCCGCCAAGGGAGAAGCATCGACGTTTACAGCCTTGCCGAAGGCAGAGTGATCAAGGTGCCCCTGAAGCACTTGAAGCCCAGTGTCAAGGGCAAGTGTAGCAGGTTTTGTACCGAACAGTGTGGCAATTTGCACGCCAATGACGTCATGTACCTCGGGCGCGGCTGGTGCAGAGCCGAGTACGAGTGGGCCAAGCCCAATACCATCGACATTTCGTGGCCCCCGCATGTATGCGCCGGTGTTGCGCTCGGTACGACTCCGCATTTCATTAGCTCTCCCTACCCTGGACGCATGAGGCATTCCAGAAGAATGTGGCAGCTCGGGCCTTGAAATTCACGCACAAGAGTGACATCAAACTCGTGGTTGAGCTGCAACGCAAAGTCTTCCACCAGAAAGTGACCACATTGGAAAAGTTTGATTGCAACTGGCTTCGCGTCCACGATGTGGAGGACCTCGTGGAACTGGCGTCCCAGCTGGCTGCCGTGCAAGACTTTGAGCTACGTGCAGCCTACGTGGCGCGGCCGCAGCAGTTGGCCCTGGCGAATGCTGTGGCCACGCGCCCTGCACTCCACACCGTGAAGATTGTCTCCATCAATCTAAGGCTTCGTGCGGTGGAAGTCCTGGCAGGTGCTCCGCAGCTGTGCACGCTGTGGCTGAACGGCTGCAGCGCCATCGCTGTGGCAGACGCCATGGCACATCATTCGGCGCTCCAAGAGGTGAAGCTTCAAGGCAACGACATCCGCGATGGTGGAGCAATGGCCTTGGCGAAGGCTCTGGACAGAAACCATGTCATGGACGAGCTCCACTTGGATTTGAACCACATTGGATCGCCGGGCGCGGTCGCATTGGCCGAATCCTTGAGCTGCAATGGCAGGTTGAGACATTTAGGGATGCGAGGAAATCCCATTGGCGCCCAGGGCGCTCGAGCCCTGAGAGGATTGAGGATTGTGGTGGTGAGTGAAAGGCTGCTGTTGAGCGTGGACACTTCGTGCTGGGGATGGATGTGCTGCGTCCTAATTCGCTTCTTTGGTGTGATCCTTTTCACCCTGCTTTTGCTGCCCTGGAGGTGCTTTGTATGGCAGCAGAGAGCCGTTCACTGCATCAGTGCAGGGCGCATCCAATGGGCCACCACTGCAAGATATCGTGTGGTGAGTGACTATGACAATTCCAGTGTGGCAAGCTTTGACGATTGAATACTGTTGAAGATATTACGTGAACAACAATTCGAGCTGCAGAAAATGCTGGTCTTTCAATGTCTTCCATATCCTCTCAAGGAACCTGCCCACATCTTGGCCCAACAAAAAAGAATCAGAGATCCTCAGTGGATGACTTATCTTTCGGCCGAAAGATTTCGGCCTATTCGGTCCAAGCAATCTCCAAGCCCATTCGGTCCAACCGAATGCGCAAATTGAAATAAGATTGGTTGACTTTCCTGCACCAGACCACGCCCGGAAGTCTGACTCTTAGACGAAAGACGTCCGGCCTGGCGGAGATGATCCTGGTCAACATCTCGACCTCTCAGTCATTGGTGGGCAATCTGGCCTGCCGGGACTTGAACATTGAGATTAATATATACGGAAGGCACTTGTACAGCTCTGAGTCGCTTCACCAAATTTAGTTTCGAAATGTTTCGCTCAGTCTTAGACGGAAATACTGGCTTCACGCAGACGCAACAGCTGATATCTATTGATATTTGTTTTTGTCGTCCGGCCCGTCCGGCAATCATCAGCAGGGCTCGCTATATGTCCTCTTTTGCACAATTAAACATCGCCTTTTGTTTTGATTCAATTGGAAATATCCAGATTAAGACTACAGACAAAAGAAGTTGTGCCTGACCTCTTGTGCATGCTTTTGGAAGTTCTGATTATATAATGGAAGTATATGTGCGAAACTACAGCAGTAGCACTCATTGTTCATGAACCACATGTCAAAGACATGAAACGCACAGACACGAGAAGTGTACCGCAGACCGCCTTTTGAGAGCTCAAAGATTCGCATGGTAGCGGAGCCGGTGATCCCCTTTCCAGACGGTCAGGGGTGAGGCTCGCGAATCTAGGGGACAGGACCCGCATCCCCAAGGGCGCCAGGGGCGAGCGCCTGTGTGCTGCAGCTGAAGCCATTGCAGCAGAGCTCGCAATCAACGCGAGAGGGTTCTTGGAGAAAGTGATCACGCAATCACTGCAAGAGGGTCCCTGAAGTACACGATCAGGGCTACAAGGTGGAGGAGCTCAACCTAGCCGGAACTAAGGAAGAAGATGGCTGGACTTGGAGGACAACCATCCACCTCAACGACAACAGCTTTGGATGGAGCTGAGGTTGCACGCCGCATGATGATGGCAACTGAGGCGGCCAGCATGGCTGCACAGGCTGCGGCGGCTGCCCTGGAGAGGAGGACGGGTGGTGGTGATGATCGCTCGTGGTTCAAGGTCCTTCCAAAGCCCGCTGGATTCTACCCCAAGTCACGGGAGGATGAGCTAGCACAGTGGAGAGACTTTAGTTGGGGACTTGAGCAATATCTCGCCTCGCTAGACTCAGAATTCCCCAGCGACTTCCAAGAGCTTCGAGATCATCCTACGAGGGAGGTCGACCAGAGCATCCAAACGGACGAGGTGAAGCAGAGAGGAATGTTCCAGTTCTCGCTGTTAGCCTCATTGGTGAGGCAGAGGCCACTGGCGGTGATCAAGCAGGTGAAGAATGCCAACGGCTTCGAGGCCTACAGACAGTTGATCCAGAGCCTTGAACCAGCCAGCAAGAACAGGAGCTTGGGCTTGTTGACGATGCTGCTGGAGGAAAGGTGGACTCCTCAACCAGCTACTGAAGCTAGAAGAGGGGTTCACAGAGTATGAGCGCACTGGATCGAGGTTGGAGGATAACATCAAGTTTGCCATCCTGAAGAAGTGCGTCTCAGGTCAGCTAAAGACCTGGCTCCAGTTGATTGTAGCCGAGAGCCAAAGCTACAGCAAACTCCGTGAGGCAGTGATCCAGTATGATGGAGCTACA